GTTTCTTCCGGCAGGTCCATCAAGTCTTGGGTGTCGCTGTTTAAGAAATCGTCAAAATCAAGGAAATCGGGTGGTCCTAAGCCAGCCCAGATCATGTTGTCCAAATGCATCTCCTGATCTGCAGAAGGCTGAAGTGTCGTCGTCCACGTCGCCGCAGAGCTTGCTGTTTGGGCAAAAAGAGCCGACTTTGAGATAGTTGGAGACGAGAATTGCTCACTGGATGGTGCACAGTTGGGTGAAGACACCATCTTCCTTCTCTTCAAGGCCTGACGAGCCGCAACAAAGTTAAAGGTACATAGATGGCCCAGGTGCGCACAATTCAGGCACTGAGCGCCGCTCCCAGGCTGGACACCAGGATTGAATGCACATCGTTTCTTGGAGTGACGGCAAGGGTCACAAGAAGCATTTTGACGGCGTCCGCTTGACGCCATCATCGTGAAGGGTACTGTGCAGCTTCAAAGCAGTCAAATTTGCCAGGACAAAAGAGTTCAGCCACCTGTCTGAATGGATGCATGAATCATAAAGTCCGACTTAGTCAAATCCACGCTCCGACTGGAAGTTTTCGTTATAAAAATCAAGTTCCCATTAGCGAGAGGAAGGACCCGGGGTCTCCAACTGGAGAACGAGACGACCATACATGCTGCGTGCGGAGGAGTGAGGGGCGGAGGAAGGAGAGGGTGAAGGCGCATGGGCCGAAGAGCATACTCAGTACAGAGCCGATGCCAAGAGTCGGCTCCGACAATAGAAGCTAAGCTCAGAGTGGAATGGTGTTACGCTGGCGAGGCTTTAATCCGATGAGCCCTTGTCGCACGCATACCTAGCCAGTGCCGCGAGGCCTATCACGCACAGAACGACTTGTGCCTGTACACCGGGATGCGTCGCTGCGGCTCTCATTACTCCGATCATGGTGTTGCAAGCGATGCAAAAAATAGGAGCTAATATCCTACTGATGTTCGGCTCGGGTAATGCGGCGAAATGACGAGCCATCCTGGGCTCAGCACATATGGTCACAACAGCGACGCCGATGATGAGGGTACTTAAATGTTTCTTATCACTCTACCCATCGGCTCGCAAGTCAGAGACACCAGTCATCTTGTGGCGCATATGGCTTCCATTAATTACGATGGACAGGTGTTCGTCATCACCGACGCGACTACTCTATTCGCCCACGACTGCGCCAGCTTGTTGGCAGCTCGCGGCGCAAAATTGGTCCTCAACTATCCTCCGAGCTCAAGGCTAACACGCAGTACAGTAGGCGACAGCATCCCTTCGGTTCACGAGACATATCAAGATCTCCAAGATGCGGATAAGATCATTGCGGGCGCCTCCGAGAAATATGGCACCGTCCACGTTCTGATCAACAATGCTTCGCCCAGAAGTCCCAGTCCGTCATATGACCTCCAGAGCTCAGCAGTATGGGATGCCATGCGGAAGAATGTGATTGATGGAGCGTACAGGGTATTCTTTCTTGTTTTAACCAAGGTGCATCTGTTGATGTACTAACGAGCTTAGTGTGCTAAAGCAGTCTGGCCTCATTTCCGGAAAAACGGCTATGGTCGAATCCTGTTCATAGACTCTGGCTTTACAGACTCTGGAGTTGCTGAAATTGGTACATTTGCTCATCTTTCACGGTTGAAAAGCAACCTTCTGACTTCAGCAGCTGGGCGATTTGCTCTGTTCGGATTTGCCGAGACACTGGCCCGGGAAGGAGCCAAGTACAACATTCGTGTCAATATTATAGCTCCGCCGTGTATATCACATCTCTTAGTCCTCTAGTATGTCTGCATCGCTAACCTGTGTCCTACTCTAGCGGCTTCCTATGTCATGGGGGAACAGACGCCAGCCACGCCCGAGCCCGCGGCCCTCACATCGCTTACAGCAGCACTCGCCCATGGATCACACAACGACGCGGTGGGTTCACTGTACAGCGTTGGGGACGATTGTGTCCGGAAATTTCGATGGGAGAGGTCAAAGGGTGTCTCCCTGAATCCGGATCTCAACTTCACAGCCGGGGCGCTAGCCACGCAGTGGGAGGAGATATTCGACTTTTCTCACAAAGAGTATTCGACGTCGGCCACGGATTTCGGAAAATTACTGCCAGAAATGCAGAAACTGCCTTCCAACTCAGTCCACCCTTCTCCAGACTTCTCGGGAAAGGTCGTCCTCATAACGGGCGGTGCATCTGGGTAAGTCTGCTGATAGTCTGATACCCTCATTACTTTCGACTCGAGCCTGTGAACTGAGCTTCGTACTATTTAATACAGACTCGGTCGCGCCTACTCCCTGGCATTCGCAAGGCTCGGCGCTCGCGTGGTCGTGGTCGATCGAGCCGACCCTCAGAAAGTCGTGGATGAGATCCACGGCGCAGGCGGCCAAGCCGCTTCTGTCATTGTATCAGTCGAACATGCCAACTACATCGTCAGCCGGGCGCTGGCATTCTACGGGAAAATAGACGTACTGGTTAACAACGCCGGATTTGTCCGCGATAAGTCGTTCGCCAACATGGACGACAATCTCTGGCGGACAGTAATGGACGTGCACCTCGAGGGCACGTACCACATGACCAAAGCCGTGTGGCCGCACTTTGTCCGCCAGCGCCACGGCTGCATCGTGAATACCACGAGCACTAGCGGCATCTACGGCAACTTTGGCCAGGCCAACTATTCTGCTGCGGTAAGTAATCCACCTGAATTTAGAAGCCAGGGAGGCCAAGCTCGGGCATGCCACTCACTGGTACGCAAAAAACAAGAAACTAGGCATCCTCGGCATTTCGGAAGCCACTGCTCGTGAAGGAGAGAAGCACAATATCCGCGTCAATACCATCGCACCCGTCGCCAGCACCGGCGGCCTGGCTGTAGCACTCTCCGGCACCAACGACAAGAACAAGCAACCGGTCTTCTTGCCCGAATACATCGCGCCACTCGTGCTCCTCTTGACATCAGACACGATTATCGGCAGGCCCAATTACACTACCGGTGGTTTGTTTGAAGTCGGTTGCGGATGGCACGCAGCTATTCGCCTGCGTCCAGTCTCTGAGTTGGAGTTCTCGTCCACCAGGGAAATATCACCCGAAGTACTCGCTGGATGTTGGCACTCCAAAAGTTCTCCCACCGCCCTCGTTAAAGCCAAGTCTAACAAAGATGTGCTGGAGACCATTGCTGGACTGAAGCGCGTGGATGTTCAACATACCGAGTACACATATACAGACAACGACGTGATGCTGTACAGTATGTATTTACCTTTTCCCTATTTACGCGATGGTTGTCGCTAACTCCATTTCTCCCGTTATAGACCTGTCCATCGGCGCGAAAAGGTCAGAACTCCCATTCATATGGGAGGAATCGAAATCCTTCATGGCACTACCGACCTTCGGAGTGATCCCGTTCTTCAGCATGGACACTATCTACTACCACGGCCAGATCCTGCCGGGCTTCAAAGCTACCCAGTCGCTTCTCGGCGAGCTCTACCTCGAGATCCTCCAAGATACCATACCCGTCTCAGGCCATACGTCGACCACCCGACGACTAATCGAGGTCCTAGACAAAGGCAACGCAGCGGTTGCTGTTACGGGTTACATGTCAAGCGATGCCAGGACTTGCACGCCGCTTTTCTACAACGAAGTGTCGTTCTTTATGCGTGGCGCAGGCGGCTTCGGCGGGCCTCGAGAACGCTCGCACCAGACGCCATCGGCGCGGACATACACAATGCCGTCACGCCGGCCCGATGCGGTCGACGAGTTCCGCACCTCGGAAGAACAGGCTGCCTTGTACAGGCTGACTGGCGACCGAATGGCCATGCACGTCGATCCTGAGTTCAGCAAGCAGGGAGGCTTCCCGATCCCGATCCTGCATGGGATGTGCTTCATGGGCGTTGCCGGCAAGCAGCTCTTCCAACGCTATGGAATGTATCGGAGCATCAAGGTCAAATTCGCCGGTCCAGTCGTGCCGGGTCAAACACTGCGCACGGAATCGTGGAAGTCTGGTGACCTGGTTGTGTTCCAGACTAGAGTGGTCGAGACGGACAAGCTTTGCATTGCAGGAGGAGGAATTCAGTTGCGTAAATCGTCTGCGGCCAAATTGTAGTAGATATGTCATGCTTGAACAACACCACTGTCAGAGTGCCCCAGCAGGAATCGAGTTATGAGGGGATGTGTTGCCAGAAGAATCAAAAGGAGCAGTATGCTCAAACATCAAATGTAATGGGAGAGTTTCTCCGTGCTGGGCGGCCTAGTGCTCTTCAGCAAAAACACCAGTAAATACTCAGCGTCGCTTGGCTCACCTTCAGCTCCCCTGCTACTTTCTGAGCGATCCTAGGCACTCGCTGAGTCCGGGATCCCAACCATGCCCTCTTCTCCAGCAGCCTCGTCATCCAGTGAAGTTGTCTTTCGTCACGCGATTAGCCATCAACGATATTGAAAACGATGCGTTTACCAGCCTCTTCGGTGAGGACGCCTTTTACAAAAAAAAAATAAAAAAAGTTAAGAAGTTAGGGACAACTATACGGACAACCCCGGAAGAATATATCTCAATGGCGCCGTCAGTGTCACTAATGAAACAACACATAAGACAAAAATCACAGCAATTGTCAATGCCGACTTTCACGCAGGCCAACCCGCGGAGGGAACTGTAAATCAGCAAGCCGCGGGACAGGCTAACACTACAGCTTCGCACTCGCTGCCACTTCTAAAAGAGCACTTGACGAAGGACGAACGAACGCCCAAGGTGTTGATGCTAGACATATCAAGGGAGGCAGCGCTGCAAGCGCATGAGATGACAAGCCAACTAGCATTTCCTTTCGTGATTCCCTTGAAGTCTACCTTATACAACTTAAAATAAGGATTGCAGTGGTAAAAGCCCTCCGTTGGGGTTCTGGTAAGTTTGTCGCAGGTGCTGGCGCAGGCTCTGGCGCAAGCCGTAGCTCTGCTGAGCATTGGTGGTAGTTTGTATCCTTGAGTTGCTCCCCGTTTAGACTGCTTGCAGATCATCTTTGAGCCTGCCCAGTTATGGCCGCATAGTGCCAGGGTCTTCCACCTTGGATGCGAGCAGTTCGCGAATACAGCTCTTGATGAACTCGGTGTCTTGCTTGCTCCCGCCGCCACCGCCAGCCACATGGCCCCAGATGGTCTCGATCACCCTCAGCTCCCCGTGCCTCAAATGCTTGACCTCTTCCACACTATCCTCGGGCGGGAAGTACAAGTCGGTCCGGCTGGGCATCACCAGCACCTTCGCCTTGATGCTCGCCAGCGCCTGGACAAAGTCGCCCTTGACCGGCCCGTGGTTTAGGGCACGCAAGCGGATGTGTTTCATTCGTTAACTTCTAGTTCTCGTATTGATGATAATAACCTTCATGGATTGTACCTGACTTTAGGAAGCACCAACTCGTCTAATCTCAATCATATGTCAACTCTTCAAGTTCTTGCACCCATGAAATCGCGTGCTCTCGACAGCCACAGACAAAGTACCGGCCGGATTGATTCAGCACTCACACGCTCGAGCCGGGCGGTACCACATTGTACCCTCTCCTAATCAAAGGGCTATCTGTTGTGAGGGAGCCAATGTCATGGGCATCCAAGCAAGCCTGTCGGCTCAAGAGCACAGCCTCTCGCCCTCTCGAGATCATTTCTGCTTCATAGTCCCCCACCGCTTCTTGACGGGTCTTCTGGCCGCGATCCTAGAGCTTCAACTGCTCTATGAGGTTCATGGCGTCCGTCAAGCCGTGATTGGCGGCCTCACCGCGGTCTTCGACGTTGAATTTGGTTAGTGCATAATGGGGACGGGGGGTTCAAATATACAATTGATTGAGCACTTACACATAGTCATGGGATTAGCAGCGTCCCCCAGCATCGTCACCCTGCCACCCAAGCCATGCCACGGGACTGTAGGCCGATCTGCCAGGGAGATATCGAAGACCTGGGTGTCGGGGATATTCTCGATCAGCTCTCGCAAGGTCTTTTCGAATCCGGTCCCCGCCGTGGCCAACGATTTGAACTTGGCAAGTTTACCGGCGTTTGTTTCGGGCATATGGTCTCCTGGGCCCCGGATCAGCCAGCTGACATTGATTTGAGCCTCGTAGTAGGGACTTGTTGTTTCCGAGCTGCCGTTCACCTCGGGCGTGGAGAGCGTCGAATACCACATGTAGTATCCCGTTTCAGGGTGACTTCCCTGGAACAGCAACGGATCAATGCCTCGCAGGCCACTGACTTCGTCCTGTGTCCGACGCAATTCCACCGCCAAATAGTGCGCAGGCAACTGGTTCAGACACCCCAGCTCATCCCCCATGAGGAGCTGACGGATCTTGCTTCCACTGCCGTCCGCGGCGGCTAATAGCGAGCCTTGGATTTCAGTACCGTCGGTCAACGACACGGAGATGCCGCTCTCGGTGGGCCTGAAGCCCGAGATTGATTTACCCCAGTGCACATCGATGCCCGTGGTGAGAAGCTTCCGCAGCTTTATGCGGCTCACGCGGCGGCGAAAGGCCGGCGGGATCACGAAACGAGGCTCGGCCGTCTCTGCTACGCCCGACGGCAGACACATCTCCAGGGCTGGCAGGGCCCAGTATACCGAGAATCCCCCCCCCCCCCCCCCGGGAGGATCTGGCGTCAAAGTATGGGTCCCGTTCGTAGACTTGGAACGCGATGATTTCCTTCTTGAGAGCCTGGGCAAGCGCGAGGCCTGTGATCCCTGCTCCAGCTATGATGATGGGTAGCTGCTGGGAGCGTGACATGCTGCGGCTACTTCCCACAGGAGGATTGATGGTGGCGACGAAGATGTTGGTGGCAAGCGGCGTTGTAGGTAGAGGGAGAAGGCTAATGCTCCTAATACCATCAGAAGTGTGTGAGAGAAAGAAAGAGATGGGGAGCGAAGGAGAGAAAGAAAGCCATATTTCTTTCTGCAGAACAAACCGAGTCGCTACTAGGTTGTTTGCACTCCGTTGGTATGCGAAAACTTCATGATTGCACCGTTTATGAAAGGCGCTCATGCGGTTTGATCTTGTTGAGCGAAGCTCAACAAGTATCTCCCTATTACGAACAGGGCCTACGACCAGGAAGGGGACCTAGAGGGGACAAAAGAGACGGCAACTAGGCCGAGCTAATTATAGAGAATAAGAAAGAGACATAGTACGAGAATATATAATCAGTATCGCTTAATAGATATATAATAAGATATATCCGGCTCTGATCTGAGAGGATGGATGGATTCAGGTGACGATCCCGCCACCGATTCGAACTCAAGAAACCAGTATTGACCACTACTTCAGGACGTGCCATTCGCTTGGCCTTCGAATTCGGTCTGAACCAAGAGCTCTCCACCTTCAAAAATGATTGTCACCTCCAGATTGATACAACAGAACGATCTTCTGGGGCTGTTTCACTCTAGATCGGTACGTAGCTCTTTGATCTGTACCCTCTGCTCATCACAGCGATTAGGGCTGACTGATGCTAAAACCCCATCTCAACAGAATGTGGGCAACCTACTTGGGCAGGCCTCACTTGATAAACCTCACCAATGTGACACAAGATCGCCGAGGATCCGAAGCCGGCTCGCATACTTGGGATGATAAGATTGCTGGCGCTTGGGCAGATCTTCTTGAGCTCGCTGGGAGGATATCTGAAATAATGTCTGGCTCCCGCAAACCCCCCATCATAGCTCTCCCTGCATCATGGCTGACGGTCACGATGCAGAAACCGCAGCCTTTCGCCGAGTGATGGACATAGGCAAGAGGTTGCTGAATGGCCGTCGACGCTAGATCCCTAGTTGGACTACACTCCGCGGTCTCCTGCCGTAGTCCACATGTTGCAGTGAGTATACGTTCAGATCCCGCCTCTGCACCTTCCAAACAAGCAAAACATATAGGTACTCTCACATGGCAATGGATTGCAATAGCCTATAAGGCATTGCGAGAGGCTGGTGAATCTCATAATGTACTTTTAGCGGTAAGGCTGTGGATAAGGGGGTAACACTGGAGTGCCAAGAGTGCCAAGAGTGCCAATCTGCACAAACACAGCCTCAGCCTCCCCTCTTTTCTCCTCTTTCCCCACTGGCATCTTCCCCCAAGTTCCCATGTTTCTAACCGCGGCGAATAACCTCCATGCTCGTCTTTCCCTTCCCCCACCGAGTATGGTTCAAGTGCCAATCTGCAAACGCAGATCCGGGATTATACCACCGAAGCGATCAAGTACGTATCAATGTGTCATGCACATGAGATTTAATCCTCATTGGGTAGTCACGTCGTATTTGGATGGCGATCGACAAAACTTCGAACTTCGAGGCAAAGGCCAAGAGAGTTCGGAGGTCCAATCCTCCGCATCGCGGAGAACGCACCGTGGCTCCTTCGATCCCAATTCGGAGCTGCGGTTATGTGGGATACCTGAGTCAAGAGTAGGTTAACAAGAATGAAGTCGAAAAGGGGAGAACGAGAGCAAAGGTAGTCTTCTCGAACGTCAATCTGCAACAAAACATTCATTGCATAGTCTTCTTCAATTCCTTCAAGTTGGACGAACCTTCCCTCTGTGGACTTGGACTCTCACCTTCCCTCGTCTTTCTTGAGCCCAGTATCGCGAGCTCCCCGTTCCTACTTACGCTTTCAACATGATTTTCAGAACCAGGTGGGATCAAAGAGACTCACGACCAGCCCGAATCGCCAGTGTATCCGGCGCTCGAAGTCTGTGCTCCTCTCCGCACTCTTTCCGTTTTCACGCAGATACATAAGTATTACATGCTAACAGCTTCAATTTCTCCAACAGCCGATCCGGGAAAACACATGCGACGACAAGCAGAAGAGGGTGATGTCGATTTTCTGACCGGTGACTACTTGGCAGGTAAGCTTGGGCAATACTATACAGTTTGGAGGGATTTCTCCCTGTTCTGCGCCGCCCAAAAATTAATGCTTGTGTGTGTCATTTAAACAGAAATCAACCTTCCCGAGAACAAGAAGGGAATGGATGCTGGGACCCACGAAGGCTGAGAGGAAACTTGCTGGGATGGGTTTGTGCAGAGTATTGATTTGATCGCGCAGACGCGCATCAAGGTCATCGTCAATGGAGGTGCGCTCAAGTGCACTCAACCCGGCTGGTTTGGCTGCTAAAGTCCAAAACCTCGTATGTATTGACTCTTCATCTGCTCCCCACATGAGAGGAGTCATGGTAACCATTTGTTATAGGTCAACGAAAGAGGCCACTCACTGGTGGTTTCGTATCTCCTGGGTGACGATTAGATTGAAGAGACAAAGACTTCGATTGAGACCTCTGGTCAGCTGCCAGCACACCTTGACTCGTCTAACCCCGACATCAAGGTGGAAGAGCTGGCGTTTGCTCTCCAGGACCATAAAGCTAAACCAGTCATCACATCGCATGCATATCTGGGCGCACGAGGCTTGGTGGCCGCGTTGGAAGGCGGAGCAGACATTGTCATTGCAGGCCGAGTCGCCGATGCATCCCCCGTCATCTCCGCTGCCTGGTACTAGCATGGGTGGAAAGCTGAAGACTACAATCAGCTCGCCAACGCTCTGATTGCAGGTCATCTTATCCAGTGCTCTGCATACGCCACCGCCGCCAATTTTGCTGGCTTTGACCAATACGATCTAGACCTCCTCATGGACCTGCCATTCGGCATCGCGGAGGTTGATTCAGACGGTACCGCCGTAACCACAAAGCAGGAGAACACTAAGGGGATCGTGACTGTGGACACCATCAAATGCCAATTCCTGTACGAGATCCAGAGCGCCATATATCTCAACAGCGACGTCTCAGCGGATACTCCTGAGATATGCCTCGAAGACGTTGGCACCAACCGAGTTCGCATGTCGGGCATCATTGGCCATCCACCGCCACTGACCACCAAACTAGCCGTCTTTTACGATGCTGGGTATCAATGCCAATTGCTCGCCAACGCAGCTGGACACGCAACCGAGAAGAAATGGCAGCTGTTCGAGAAACAAATGCGCTATGGATTGAAAAACAGAGGTGTCCTCGACCAGTTTGACAATCTGGAATTTCAAGTGTAAGAGCGCTGCCACCTGTGAGGGCAGTCTATAGTACATACTGACAGCCCGTTTGTGTGATCAGGGTAGGAACTCCGGAGTACAATCCTCGCAGTCAGCTTCGAAGCACATCTTATTGTCGCGTATTTGCACAAGCTTCAACAAGATCTCCCGTTGACGCGATTTTCCCCGTCTGGGCTGAGTACATCATGCAGCATTTCCACTGTGGGTTGAGCTGACATTCAGGCCTTCCTTTTTCCCCTTTCTGTTAAGCCTTCACACACTGATCACATGAGAGCAAAGGACTCCATTGGTCGCTTAATTATCG